TCACCCACCTGGGGTAGAGTTGCTGACTGTGGCTGGGGATGAGCTATTTCAGTGCTGATAGCAGAAAGAAAGCAGAAACTGCAAGAATATCGCTAGAATAAATTCTCCATCTGTGCACAGTTTCCCCTCCCTTCCTGTGCCTGCCACTAATGGCTTTGTTTACAGCATTAACGTTGACAACAAGACCACGATACTAGTTATGCTTCAGAAATCTGTCATTAGTACCGTGGGGGCGGGGGTGGTCTCACAAAAGCTGAATGGAAGCAAGGCAACCTCCCAAAGGATGTTATATTTGAGCTCTATGTAGGGCACATTGTCCTAGATCAGACCAGCAGAGCACTCCGCACAGTCCAACTTCACTTGTCCTCGTTTTTCTTTTCTTATAATTAAAAACTTCCTAAGTTCTTCCAGACTACGGAAGGCAGCATTTGTTTTATAAGCACAAAAGAAGGTGTTATTCCATGTACCCTAGGGAAGAAAAAAAAAAAACAACCCCAAAAAACCAGGCCGTTAAGAGACCTGGTTTTAGTACTCTAGGTCTGGAGTGAAACTTTTGCCAGGAATTATCTCCTTCCTCATCTTCCAGCAAATTCCTTTCCCGTTTGCCAAGATTAGATGTCAGCAGAAAGATCTGTTTATTTACAGCGAATAAAAACTCTGCCCACGCAGCGGTCCTTATCTTCTGAGAAAAGACTGGCCATGTTACCAGTTAAAAGTACCAGGTTTTGTTCCCATGGAGATAGAGAACAGTGATTCCTTGTCATTGGCATTACCTGTTTCTCTGATGGTTAAGACAAGGGTTGTTTGGACCCTGTAAACCTGGTGCTGCTCCTATCAGGGTCTCCAATAGGACATCTGAGGAAGAATAGCAGGTCCCAGCCCTGTGCCAAATCCTGCCCCGTGCTAGGATCCGGCCTCGTGTGCTAAATGCGGACCTCACGGCAAGTGCCTGAAGCAGCAGCACTCAAAATACAGAATATATATATATTAAGAATCGGTGGTGATGGCAGAAGTAAAAAACTGTGTTGGGCAGCTTTTGCAGGGTGATGATGAAGTGGTGGGATGAACTGCAGCAAAGCGACAGCACCCTAAGGAGACTATGCAAAACATACCTCAGCATTAACTGTGACACTGTCCTACCTCTGCCTGACATAGATCTGCTTACCAGTTAGGATGAGCAAGCTTTGGTGTGACATGGGTGAATTTACAGTGTGAGACGCACCCATTTGTGCCCAGGTGACAGCGATAGGGAGCCGTTAATGATGTGCTAGTGATCACCATAAATTGGTAACAATAATAGCCATCAAAGTGATAAATCTGTAAAATATCAGGAGGCTGCTGTTGTCGCTGGGTTGTCACTGTGACAGCTCAGCAGTAACTTTTGCATTTCTGATGCTTTCAGTTTGTGCACTTTATATCGTTATGCAGTGGTTGTGAACACCTCTGTGTGGGGCAGTGTCAGTCTGTGGGTCCTGTGGTCCCTGTGCATAACATATCAGCAGATTATGGCTTTAAGCAAACCGTAATCATTAAGAAAGCAAAAATAAGTAGTAGATACAATGTGCAGTAACCTCATATTTCATGTGTGTGGTTGATGCTAATGTTGCATCACTGAAACACGGGCACATTTCAATAACTGAAATATCTTCCTGAATTCATTCCATCCCACAGAATCGATGGTAATGAACAGGCTCTGTGTTTGCAGCTGGATGCGTGGTGTGGCTTACCAGTGTGATAATACACACCTGCCGCTTTGAGGGTTCTTAACTAAAGGTTAGGAGGCTCTGGTTTTGTGCCATTTCTTTGAAGGCCAAGGCAATTGTTTAGGAAGAAGGTGAATTTAGAGTCCCTCCTTCAGCAAAGTATATAGCAGTGCCAGGTGACTATAAAGGGTAAAATGATGGTGTGGTGTAGCTGAAAGGTTTGCCTAGTGATGTAGCAGCGCAAAATCCTTCTGATCAGCTTTAAAGACAGGTTCTGTCTTCAGCTGTGTTTGGAAAAGAGCTTTACGGCCTCCACAGTCACTAGCAAACTCTGCCTTGCTGGGTTTTGCCGTGGCTGACTGGACTCAAGGCAGACTTAGCACGGCAGGGTTGATACTGCAGGTCAGAGCTGAGAGGTGTGGGAAGAGGAGTGCTCTGTGCCAGGTGCGAGGACACAGGAGGCTGAAGCTTAGGAGACAGCTGCAAATTCCTATGCCTGGGAGGTCTGCAGTGGACATGAGTACTGTGTCCTCTTGGCAGCGAAGGGATGAGAGGTTGCTTACTTGAGATAACCAGTGCTGGGAATAGTTTTCTCTTATTCTTCATCTCAGCCTCCATTCATGCACATGTAATGCACAGCCCCATCCTGTGCGTAGCCCAGCTCCTTGGGGAATATGAGTTGTTTCAGCCACCGCTCCACAGATTAATTTGTGGTCCAGAGACTCCTGCTTTTGGCCTCTGGCTAGAGTCCTCGGGTAAGCCCCCACAGCGTCAGGCAGATGGTGGTGGTTGCTCACGCTGCCCAGGGAGGACCATGGCTCAGCGACAGACTTCCCTGGCAGTGACCTGGGGGACATGCCCTGTTGAGCGGTACTTGCAGAAGGTGAGTCACCAGCTTGGTAAATCTGTCCCTGCAAAACTCTTCAGGGATGATCAGTGACTAAAAAACTCTGTTCAGCTCCGAGCCCTGTATCTTTGCCGATGCAGCCATCAGCTTTTGTGTGCTTAGGCGTTGGGCTACTGAGGAGGGACATTCAGGAGCTGCACACCTGAAACACAGACGTCTGCGCAGGACAGCAGCAGGATTTTGCAGCTTCAAGAAAACTTGTAAAGAGGCTGAAAACCAATTAATTATTTATCCCTCTCCTTCTGTGTATGCATAGCCACAGTTACTGTGGGGTCCTTATACCAAGTACAGGCTGTGGGTGCTGCTAGAATATCAACAGTTGAATCTGTTCTGCATATTAGAAAATGAACATGTAGTTTGGAGTATGTTCATATTTTATGAAGGCCTCCCAGCACCAATTAGAGAGGGATGTGTAGCAATCACTCACTCTGTGCTTATGTTCTTATCAATAGCAGCAAGCTTAGATCCAGATCAGCTATGAAATTAAGGATTTCCTTTTCTTCTTTTTCTTGGATACTTACATATATAGATAGAGTATTTCTGGAGACTTCTTTTTATCTCTCAAATTACCTCTCAGAGATAGGAAGGAGTAGGCAAACATTTGAGTGTTGTTAAATGAGGATCTAAATTTGGCTTAATTAAACAATTATCGCATGTTGAATTTAAAAGAAGCCTCTTTGTTGCCAAAATGTGATGGTCGCTATTTCTTGGAAAGGTGTTACTGTAATTATTACAACAGCAATCAATTACAATGCAATTTTTATAATTAAACTTGCAAAGTCTAAATAAGCCCAGCCCTGTAATAGTATGTAATTGTCATGGTGTTTGTAGACTTGTTTTTATTTTCGCAGTGTCAGAAATCTCACGTAAATGCTTTGGGATGTTTTTTCCCTGCAGAGCTCAGGAT